CGTCAAAGTTTTAACTGACAATACAAATCAGTGTGTGTGTGTCTTTAATAATTATCTGTGGTAACGTCAAAAGTTTTAACTGACAACACAAATCAGTGTGTGTGTGTGTGTCTCTTTAATAATTATCTGTGGTAACGTCAAAAGCACTGTAAGTCCGTAGGCCTAACGCTATCCCACCAGGGGACCTATTTTCAGACATCCTTTCGATTATTCCCTCTATTGTCAAAGTAAATACAGAACGATTATTTTACAACATTTGTTTTGATATTTTTTGCCGTTTTAGTTGTTTCTTTCTTGTTTTAACACGTGATCTCAGTTGGGCATAAATATACGTAATGCCGCACTTAAAACAAAGTAAGTAACGGTCTAACAGTAACGTTTGCTATGGTTACAAAGTTGTTAATCTAAAAAAAAAAAATATGAAATAAAATTTGAGGAAAAAAGAAAGTCAAAGAAGTACTCATAGGTATTTTTATTCTGTAGCTCAACCGAAGGGCAGTGGTTAACAGAGAATAAAATATAATTCATCCTGTGACGTCAAAAAGTTCAACTTTTATCTGGCATATAAACACACTGAGAGAATGAGGGAAATTTAGGTGCTGACCAAACATTTGTTTGACATATTATGTTGCCATGCAAAGACTTTGTTAGATGACCGTGGTTGGAGGAGGACCACTGAGGAATTTATCTGTTTTGAAGGCAGCTGTTTTTCTGATCCTTAGCAGTAAAAATAATTCAGTCTCACTGTTTATGTACTGCTTTCAACAATTTGATTTAAAGTGGGTTAAAGTACGTCGTATGCGTGATTACATTTTAATATAATATTGTTTATCTATACATCTTAAACTTAAATTGTTATACCTATACTGAAACCTTAATCTTATATTGTTATACCTATACTGAAACCTTAATCTTATATTGTTATATCATTATATAGTTCTATAAATCATAATATTATTTTATTAAGTGTGTCTATAAGTCAACCTTATAGCACTATATCTATCTGTACAACTAGACATGCGGAGGTAAACAAAAGCAAGATTGGCGAAGCACTAAGGCGTTTTAGGCTTAATAAAAATAATGAAATCACGCTTGATTGCAGACGGCTAATGAGTTCGTTCTGGTATTGAACGAAAGGCCTCCTGGGTAGTAATTTGTGGCAGACAAAAGTCAGTTTTGTTTTTACTTGCCCCTAATTAGAAAGCTGTAAGAGACTAACTATGAAGAAAGTTAAGAACCAAAATCTTTTGTAGAACGTGAATTTAAGTTTTCACTTTATATCGTTATATCTTTTGACATGTATTAGCCTAATCTCTATCTATAACCTTAATCTTATAATCGATCCATACATTTTTACTTTATATCGTTTAATCTATCTATGGTTATTTTTATCCATACAACTTACTTATATCTTTTAATAAATGTTAACATTACATCACTGAACCTGTCTATATATTTTAATTCGAGACCATTATATTTTTCTATATACTTTTAATCCATACATCATTTTCTTAATTTGAATTTAAAGCCATATAACTATAACATATTCAGATTAGAAATAGATATAACGCTGCCTCACAGTAGCTCAATAGGAAATCCGAAGGGTTATAATGCTAAAAACCAGGAGGTGGGCATAGCACAAATAGCCCATTTTGTAGCTTTGGGTTTAAAAAACGTAGATATAACACTATATGTGGCTAATTTTATGTATATATAACGTCACATGTATCTCTAATGTCAACGTTTTATTTATATTTATAGTTAAGCTTAGAAACTGAACTGATCAAAGCTAATAAAACATGAGCCTCCTACATTAAATAAGGTTACGATGTCTTATGAGCATTTTGTGATCGTTCAGAAAACAAGCCATAAACCTACGTTGTAAAAAAAAGTTGCAGACGTTTTTAATATTTTAGTTATTATAATAGCAGTTGTTATATTCGTTGTTCGGTCTCACTTATTTCTTAAAATATATTGTTCTAATTGAATTATATCCATCTTTAATCGCTTGGTTGTTAAAACAGTTTATCAATAGTTTTTATGTTCCTTCACCTGGTTCTTTTACGACATTTTGGATTGAATGTTAAGATATGCTCCAGGTTATTCGACATACAGCCCCCCGAAACGTCGTAAAAGAAACCAAAATAATTCCGTTTTAAAATCACCCGTCATAGAAAGCTTAGAAAGAACGACTTTTATACTCCTGATATATATATGTGTTTTTTTATATATATTTGGAGAATAAAGATCGTTTTTTTCTACACTTTTATCAAAATGTTTAAATCCATCCAGTATGCAGTACAAATTTTGAACGACAACAACAAATCAACATTGAAAGCATTATCTATTTATAAGGGAAAAAATTTCATATCGATATAACGTACGTGACATTAGTTTCTAATTAAATATTAAGCTAATCATTAACGTTCTGAGTACTGTACTTGATTTTGTAACTTTCTTTGTTCCTAAGCCTTGAACACTCGTACAAAATGCTCAATTACATTAATGTTTTTTTTTTTTTTTCTGATGGTTTTTACTTTGTCATAGTAGAACACGTTAAGACGGTAGAAAGTTGTCAATGTCTTTTATTTACAATTATACCGGTATGATCATCATAACGATTTCCAATCGTTAATTTCCATAGGACAGATTATGTTAAATTGTCACTTTTATAAAACTTTAAATATGAAAATTACGCCAACTAAATGTGTTATGTAATGTTGTAAATTTGTGTGCAAAAGCACAAAATCGTTTAAAGATGTTTAGGAGTTTTGGGATTAAAGCACGTACATTTTGCGATTTCACGAGATTTTTGTTAATGTTTAAAATTGTTTGTTTGTAATATAGCACAAAGCTACACAATGGGCCATCTGTGCTCTGCCCATCACGGGTATCAAAATACGGATTCTAGCATTGTAAGTCCAAAGACATACCGCTGTGCCACTGGGGGGGGGGGTATTGTTTAAGAAAACATTCACCTACACAGTAAGAATAATTTCTTTTCTCAATCAAAACATAAGCTCCATTGGAATTCAAATCATATAATATAACGGATTTTACTTAATGTAGAAACAAACAATATATATAAAATGATCACTGACTGATTGCGACTAAGATTAATCCGGTGAAGAAAAAACATTCATCGAAGTCAGACTTTTGGTGGTAAATTGTATTTGTAAACAATGGACAAAAGAAACTCTCTTTCAGTCTAGTTTTTACTTAACTTACAAATACTGAATTCTCATCACGTCAGTGAAAAAAATAAAATAAAAAAGGCACCAAATGACTCTTTCTTTTCCATTTTCTTTTGTAGATGGATCGTATACCACAATACATCCTGTAAAACTTGTGCTTTACAGAATCGTTAGATAAGCGAAAACCATTCGTTTTGTTAGTTAAGAGGTTAAGATAAGTCCTAATCAACCTATACTTAGTCCTGATGTTTAGTAGCCTTCTACAAACACGTGGTCGACGTTTTTAGTAATGTGATAAGGGGTCTTACTCTTTCTTTATCTTCTTCTCACTCTATATGTCGTTTTTACCACATAATTGTTAATGTTTGAAGTTAAGCACAAAGTTACACAATGGACTAGCTATGCTCTGTTCACCACGGGTATCGAAACCCGGTTTCTGGTGTTGTAAGTTTATAGACATGCCGCTGGGGACTGTAGTCACAGAAAAACAAAGCAAAACCTCTCATTACGTATATAAACAGGGGGTGGGCTAATAGTCCACAAAGTGTTGTATAAGAATTCACACAATATTCAGCAATGAAAAACAGCTCATATTTTTTAGCAGTTAGCTACACTCCCAAATCTAATATTTTGTAAGTTAATGGATTTTGAAAATTTAACCCTTAGAAATGTAAAAAAACACACAAAAAACAAAACATTTTGACGTTCACTGACATCATTGTATATACTATATAGAAACACACATGTGTATCAAGGTCACTGTATATACTCGATAGAAACCTATATGTACCCCAAGGTCCAGTGGTTAGTGTACCGAACTCTGAATATGAGGTTGTGTTTCACGTCCTGTTACCGAAAAAAAAATGTATTTCACACTTTCCTGCCATGGGTGCGTTATAAGAGTGACGGTAGAATCCCACTGTTCAATTAAAGTAGCCCAAGAGATGGTGGTGGTAGGTTTTTACTAGATGCCGATTCTTTTATTATTTCAAAATTAGGGACGTCTCAAATGCCTCTTTTTTTTCTTTGTAGTTGTTATATTAGTTTGCTAGAATTTTGAATAGTATCGTGTATGAAATTAAAATCAGATTATTTTTAGAAGTCAGTTTTCATAACGTCGTTAAATGAGAAAACTATGAAAGAGAAAACAAACGAATTATAACTTTATTCGTTTTAGAAAAACGCTTTTATTCTTCTATAATTTTTTTTTATGAAACGTAATCTTGACAAGTCAATGTAATTTTGTTTGTTTGTTTATTTTAGAGCAAAGCCACATTGGTCTATCGGATTTTAGCGTTGTAAGTCCGTAGTCTTAGCGTTGTCCCACCAGGGGGACAATCTAACTTTTGCAAAACACCATTCAAATTATTCACTAAAGAGTCTCAAGTACACGAAGCCAGTCTTCCTGAAAACCCAGTCTTGTTGAAAAGACACGAATATTAACAGTTACTATAATGAATTTTCTTAAATTTGATGAAGTCAAATTTAGGCAACATCATGTAGAATACATCTGACGTCATCACGTTCGATACTTGACTATTGGTGGAAAAAATACACCTGTAAAGTTCTCCTTTAAATAATCATATAGCAAGTTAATATTGAGTATCTTTAACACTGTGACAAACAACAAGAAGCTTTTTTTTTGTTAAACTTCGTGAATAACGAAATTATGCGCTAACTTTATTAGCACAGACAACTAGCTCAGTGAAAACATCATTTGAATTTCACAGACTGTTGTGAATTACTCTAATACACTAAACGAATAACCTAAATATGTGAAATACAGTGGGTTATATAATAAAATACCTATAATAAGGAGCCAGAGTGGAAGCGTATCAAACATCATTTAAAATCACAGACATAACAAATTATATTTCTAGTTTTAGATGTATTATGTTATTTTCCATCAAAATAGGATTAATGTGTTAAATAAACTGCTTTGGAGCTTTGATTATTGAAATTAAAATGTATTACTGGTGTTTTTTGTTTATTTTTGTACAAGTATTAAACATCCAGCTGTATTTTGCAATAAAAATGCATAGCTTACAGAAGGGTTCTCTAGGGGTAATCTAGTATAGTAATTTAATGTAGTAATTTTATTATGACCGATAAGCGGTCGTTAACCAGTCTTTTGAATGACAGAAAAACAAATGAACACTATGACTTTAATTCTCGCCAAAACTCTAAATATTGTGAACCTGATGCGCTGTTTACAGGGAATTTTACAGGGAAATTCAGATCTCTTGACAAAGGCGTAAAATATAGAATACTCGCTGGATTATTTTTTCTTTATGTTTCTGTAATTTTCGTTAAAATATAATTTCGGATACATTGTAGATATGATAGTTATAAAATAATATATCGTTCACTATAAAATGTATACACACTAAATTTAAAGGTCTCTTAAAACACATATAACACATTAGCTCATTACAACTAGATTCGTAAGTATACACATAAAAAATGTTAACTGGAGTAAAACATGTTTTAAGCTTTGTTTACATTTAAGATAATCAAGTAAAAGTAAGGAAATATATTCAAGCTCAGGGATAACATGTGAGTTTATGACAACATACATAAATTTCACGTAACAAAACAAAAGATTATTCCGAAATAAAGTTTTTATACTTACTGTAATAAGTTTAAACACAATTACTTTGTTATTTTAATAACTCGTCCTTAGCACATATATACAGTTTTAGATGATACATCTTCTCATATGATGCTCTCACATTTCGTCATAATAATATTTCTAGACGTCTGAAACAGTTCCACCAACAAATATTAAGTTATTTAGTATTTATTAGAAAATTTCAGCATTGCATCAAAATAACTGACAAGCGTAGCCATTGCGTATACTTTGTAAACATTAACAATTAACCATGCTCTCTTGTTGGAGTTTTTCATTAAGACTAATATCAGTTGAATTCAGCTTTTACCTTTTTCATCGAACTGTAAGTGAAAGAGATCATACTAAGCCCCTTTAGCTTTCACTGTCATTCTAATCACGTCACACCAATGAAACATTCATGCTGGGGTATCAGTTGCTATGGTAACAAGCTGTAGCAAAACGGCTTTTCCACTTATTTCCTACGGTATCTAAGGCAGCTAAGAATAAAGATAAATACCATGCAACTTATTTAAAGTTGTTTTTTCTTCTCTAGTTTAGCACCAGGCACATTTACACATTGTTTAAATTCTCAATAAAATATCCTAATTCAGGTTGTACGTCCACACAGGGAAATGGCAATACAACTAGAAAGAACTTAATGTACGTTGGATCAAAAGTCAAAACTTAACGCATTGTATTAATATCACAGAAGGTGAAGTTAAAACCAACTTCATTATATGTATTGGTGAGAGTTATACAGTCAACTGATATCAAATATATTAATCTAATAAAACTGTCATTACTAAAGAAAGCTTCTTGTGATATGCGTATATCATCACAATTACTTCTGTTCAAGTTGTTAATGTAATTAAAATGATTTGACAATAAAACTGTTGCTTTCCTTCTAACTTGACATCATTAAGTTTCTTACGTTAATCCTAGTTTGTTAGACTTGGAAAGAAAAATAACATTTTAACCTTAATTGTTTAAAACGATAAATTTGAAACTCACATTTTAATATATAATTAATGCTTTATTATTATAATGTTAACTTACTTATAACAGAATCAGGATGGTAAGTTACTCATTTTGCACAGTCATTATCGTCTGTTATAACAATTTGTATCCAAGCTTTGGAGCAGAGACTTTCGTTAATAAATATTAGAAGCAGCGGTTCAGTTTGTGGAACTACACACCATTATCACAATTTACAATCATGTTATATTAACCAGCCAAAGCCAACCACTCGTTGGGATTTTATCAGTTGCTTTCTAGAGCATATTTTAATCATTTCATATTGTACTTTATTTTTGGTAATATATTATAACTGTCCAAGCCATCAATAGTAAAGGTATACGCCATTTCTGTTACAGGCATCTTTCATCACAATAGGTATTGTATTTTGGAGAAATAATGTAAAAAAAAGAAAGCTACTTTTCTGGATGAAGGATCACATAAAAGTAAATATTAACTCAACAAATACAGGTTTTAGTATCAACGTTGTTTCTTGTTCGAATACAGAAGGTACGTCATCACAGGCTAGTAGTTACAAGGTGTGTTTAAACAGCGTGAAACACTGTACAATAAATCAGCACTATACAAGATATTCTGTCGTCACTGACAAAAAATTGAAAGATCTCACATGATTGGAATATGAACAGTGAATCAAGAAGCTTCCAGAGCGAAACAATATCAGACGGAAAACTTTGTATTGTTCTACTTATGCCGCTTTTGCATAAGCCGAAAAATGAAAACAGAAGTGGTTGGTTGGATAGTTGTTTTAACGCAAAGTTACACAATGCGCTACTGCACTCTGTCTGCCATGGGGAATCGAACTCCAAATTTTAGTTCTGTAAGTTCATAAACGTACCGCTGACCCAGAGTTATAACAGAAATGATAGAAATAAATACACATACATTATATACAATACACATATTTACACCGTGGACTATTAAATATCAGTATTACCATTTCATACACAAGTACATTGAGGAAACGGCTACCACGTCCAAAAGTATCACCAAGATTCATTGCGTAGCGAAACACCTGCAAAATATAAAATATTTCTCGAGAAATAAATCGAAAGTTCAAACATTACTTAAAAGAAACAAATTAGTATTTACAAGCACTCATTTTTTGTACGATGAATGAATTATAAATAATTTAATGGTTTTGGATTAATATAATTTAATTTTCATTTGGCGTTTCACGTAATGGTTTTGAAACGCCTTCTGTTGTATTTATTGATTCGGCTGTAGAAGGTGTTTTTCTTTTCATTGAACGAATTGTTATGTTTTGGATACCGATTGTGAGAGGGGAAAGTAAAGCTGTCTCTTCAGTATGTGTTTTTCCTGAAAGCTTATCTTCTGGGCTACTAAGTAGAACTGATGAAGTTGTTGATTTTTGTTCTATAACCAATTTCTGACCAAAGGCTTGTGAAGTTATGGGCGAGGACATGGTGACACTGATGAATGGTAGCTTTGATTGTTCATCTTCTTTACTTTGATGAGCATTATCAGATTGCAGGGTGACATCTTCAATAACCACAGCAAGCGATTGATTTTTAATTCCTGATCTCCTGCCTTTAAAGTCACAAACTGATGAAACTTTCATTACCTGAGATACCGAAGGTTGTTCTTCAATCTCAGAAAAATCTGCACTTTTTTCATCCACTGTTTGAAGCTTTGAGTTAGAGCTACAAGGCTGTTGAGTATCCTTGTGAATCTTTCGGACGGCACTGAAAAGTCCATGACTGCCAGGAATTGCCGAATGGCTAGATGAAAAATCAACTCTAGAGTTTTCATCCTGTTGTAAGCCACAAGAAGATTTGAAGCAACTCCCATCCATTTCTGTCCCGGACATTTTGGATTTAACAGTTTTTAATATAGATTCCTTCTTGGGAGAAAAGGAAGAAATAGATTCAGTGAGTTTGGAAACAAGGGAAGAGACAGGAGATGTGGAGTACTGAGGAAAACTTGTGACGGGTAGTGGTGAAAGTGCAAGAGGTGAGAAAATATGTCCACTACAAGACTCTCTTTTAACTTTTTCTTGTTTCAACTTAGTTTCTGAAGATTTAGAATACAGTCGATCCGGAGATAAAGCGCGTCTTAGAAGAGGAGAACCAGGCTCAGCACTCTTCGGTCGCATGAACATCTTTTTATTTGCACTGGTAGGTGTTCGCGTGCTACAAGAGGTAGTTCTGTGTGATATAGGGTGGTGGGTCAAGGGAAAGGCTAAAGGAGAAGTTGAGCGTAGAGAAGAGGGCGATGGGGTGCGAACTAAGGGGGAGAGTGGCACATGCCCCACTGACTTACGACGAGGAGAGCAGAAAGTCTGAATCAGCTTGTGTTTAAGGCCATGCAGAGAGCTTGGCCGTTGGAACTGAGCAGTACCTGCTGGAGAACCGGGAATACTAGAAGTGGGAGAACTACTTCCAGAGGAGTTCCCTGTGGATGGGGATGACTCAGATGTTGAACACAGTCTGTTAGCCGGCGGAGATCGTGGGCCTTTACGTTTCGGGGATCCAGGAAGAGCCTCGCCTCTTCTACTCAAAGAATGCAAGCTGTGGCTAGTAGTCAACACAGGAGGTGATCTGGACACCAACTGTTGCAAGTCGGCGCTAGCTCGTTTGTTACTTAACTTTCTGAGAAGAGTGGTTCGTCTTTTCCGGTCAGATTGTACATCTCTCTTTCCTTGACTATAACGCTTCCGTGTAACTGGACGACGAACCATCTTAATGGAAGAGGGATGTCTTTTACGACCTCCAGTTTTTATGGTAGTGCTCTCCAGTGGAGTCGTGCGGATAGTGATGCGGTCTCCTCCAGACAAGATCAGCTGCAGTACTTGGTGATGGACCAGTCCCTGGAGAGGTTCTCCATTGATGTGGGTTATCAGGTCACCAGGTTTCAGTTGTGACGCGAAGGCTGGTCCATTGTTATCCACTGCCTAAAAACAAAGACTTGTAGTCAAGAAGATTTATTCACAAGTTAAATAATAACATGCTATTCATGAATAACTGTTTCTCATTGTAGCAAACGAAAATATCACAACTATATAATTTCCATGCCACTATCACGTTTAACTCGAACTGTCATTTACAATCTATAATCTAACTGAACTGTTTTCTACGTTAATCCGTGATTCTACCAACATTAGATCTAATTCATAAATCTAAGCATATTACAGAATATAAGTTTTCTTAAACAGACAAGACATTAATAACTTCCAAGATAATCCATAAATCTGGGTGATAAATATAACGGTACGATCTCTGTCACTAACAGTGAAACTCTGATTACATGTTTTGAAATATTACATAATTAATACAGTAAAACATAAAACCACCTGCTAGTGGTAGCATAAATATATATATGTACTGTGACAGAGCTCCAACAAACTGCCATTTAGTAGCGATAAGATGCTTGTAGTACAGGACAATTACACTACATCAATGTTGAAAAATAGGTTCTCACAAACTGATGATATCCAACACACACTAAACGTATTTCATAAGTAAAAGTTTCAAATACCTTCTAGTAAAAAAATATAAAACGTTTTCAGAAAATTTCCGAAATATTGACTTCTAAGTTCTCATAATGCATTCTATTGAAAAGTGATGGACAGGAATGAACTGGTGACAATATAGAATGTTTCTAATTACATGAACCAACCAGTTCTCCAACATCCATCAGAAATTTCACTCTACTCTCCCAGTCATAGTCATGTTGCTATTAGCAGTATGCACAACTACAGAAGCAGGATATAACTGCTAGATATCGGAGAACTGGCTGGTTGACGTATGTTGGAGAACTGGCTGGTTGATGTAATTTGAAAGAGAAAAAGAGCAAAGGCTCAGTTTTTGTGTCTGTTTTCTAATACATATCTTAGCATTTTCGCTTCCTGATATTTCTTTAATGATAATTCTTATCTGTGACATTAAATAGAGAGGGTTTGTTCTCCCATAATTCAATGAATTGTTAATTTTTTTCTGGTGTCAAAATATTTACTCTTTGTGGTAGTCATTTTGTGATCAGGGGGATGTTTTTGTCACATGACTCGAAATTTTTCCCCAATTAGTTCGAGTTAAGAAATTCCTGCAAAGTGTGTTACCAGTTTTTGAGCAGTTCTAAAAGCGCAGTATCCTGTTACAAATCACCAGAAACTAGAGACTTTTCAAGTTCTTGCTAGATACATCACACTGATGCTGTACAAAGACTGCAACCACTAATGATACATCTTTTTACATTCCATGTAAACTACACCATCCTACAGAAGATCGTAAACAACTAGTTACAATAAACCTATATGGTACTAAACACTGCCTTTACTACCTATACCGTACTCATATGGTATGAAAAATGGCTACCAACTAACAACAAGAAATATATGGTAAAACTGATATGGATCAAGAAATTTCCATCAGCTAGTGACAAAACCTAAGTCGTATAAGACAGCGTCTCCTCTACAACATTATAGTAATACTTCCCCTACAACTAATACATATTAATTTGAAATAAATATTCAACTCCAGATAGTTACAGAAAACCTATGTTGCTGAACACAACGCCCATGCTAGCAAAATCATAATAATATAGTACACCTAATAACACCCACCAGTAGTAACATATCAAAACATAAGACTGCACCTTTTCTCACACTGTACTATTTTTCACTTCGAATTAAAAGATATCTCCATGGAAAAACTGAATAAACTTACCGACACCAAATGCTGAATGGTGTATACATCAGAATCGCCAAAGTACACTCTAATTGCTCGAGCTGTGAAACCAAATCCACGAAGCCCTTTGCGGATTATGATAGGTGGTTTGAGTTGAGGAATTAAAGAACTTGCTTCTCTACTGGGTGAGGTATCCCTAGAACTTGTACTGGAACCTCCTGAAGAACATGTTACAGGTTGAGATACAGTTTCATCTACGAGAGAGAATATCAATTAATTTGAGATTCGGTTGAAAAATTACAGATGCTACAAGTGTCCGGTTTGAATAAAACTTAACAATATATATCAATTACATAAAACTTTAACAATATATATCAATTACATAAAACTTTAACAATAATTATTTTTTCACCAACACCTTTAATAAATTTTCCATTTTTTTATCGACACTTTTTTAATGACTTAGCTAAATCACGTAACCCTAAAATGAACAACAAAATTAATTTATTTTCTAACGAATTTCCTTCACTACACACAACTTGATAGTAGAAACAGAAACTTAATTTATTGTGAACAAAAAACTTCCTAGCAAATTAAACTAAAAAATAATTTTACATAATCTGGTAAACATGTGATCACCTGCTGGTATTATTAATGATAAACCAGAAGCCGAAGCTGACTTCGTTACCAAACGTTCTTTCTGTCGAGATCCAAACGGTAAAGCAGAGGATGACGGAATTGGAATGTTTGGTGAGGCTTGAAGTTGGTAAGCATGTTTCCTTAGTTTCACCCAATCGTGCACAAGAATAGTGGCGCCACCTGGGGGCTGGAGAGGTGGGGGCTTGTAGTCAAGAGATGGAGCCAGGACACCTTGGATATCTTTCCCTGTACTCACCGAAAATTGAGGTGTTAATCGCTTACTATGGGCTTTATCTCCTTCCTCCTGAGTGGCTGTATTTTTTTCTCCATTTTGTCCGTGGACCGGTGACCATTGTGGGGAAACCTTACTGGCATTTCTGGAAATTAAAAACAAACCTATGTTTTGAAGTGCTTAGCGATAAAAAAAACACAGCATCATGTTAAGTTTCTACTGATATAATATTGAACGTAGTAGCAGCCAAGAGTTCTTACAATCTCAACAAAAACAATGCTTCAAAATAATTATATCCCTGTTGATCTTACCTTCCTCCTTCCCACAAGTGTCAGACAAAACATAATCTTTAATAAGAACAAACAAGAATTCATCAATCGATGATTGACCTGGCGTAGCCTGATGGTTAGGGCACTCGATTCGCAGTCTGTGCGTCGCGAGTTCGCATGTCGTCACTGAAAATTCTCGTCCTTTTAGCCTTGGGGCGTTATAATGTGACGGGCAATTCCATTTTTCGTTTTTGAATCGAATAGCCTAAGAATTGGCGGTGAGTGGTCTTGACTAGCTGCCTCCCTTCTAGTGTATAACTTCTAAATTAAACCAACAATCGATAATTTATTCAAGTCAAACAGCTAAAACGTTTAAAGACACTAAGGACAAACGGAGGAAAAATGTACAAGAAACCCACAATTTGAGGAGAACAGAGTAAGGCGAGTATTTGCAGGTGGCAGACCGGATTTACACTGGAAATGAAAAAATATACTCTTTCGAATCCTTAATTGCATTTCACCTTTACCTCTACTAACTATAGCGAACTTGCTATCTTCATTTGCAGCATTACATACATTCGACAAGCGGTGAGTTAAATCAGACGTACTTCCTGTCTTGTAGGTGTTTCTTTTTATAGTGGATAACCGCCTAGCGGTGGACTCCACATTTTCTTTGCGCAGCAAGGACACGAAAACTTCATTACAACTAATAAACGCTTACTCTTGGGAACTACATCGTTTGCAGTCTCTAAGCCGAAGGCCTTAGCATATAAACCGAAGCAACGTCCACCAGTACTATCTTCTCTGCGAAAACCATCCTTAAAACAAGAACTAAATCATTAAAACTAAGTTTTATTCTAAAAATGTGCTTTAAGGTGCGTACAGTTGGAGTTGCGTGCGTACCTACCCTATGATACCACTTAAACTTTTCTTGACTGGTATAAAATGTTGCAAAACAGCGTCTACTTGTTTTTTAAGAACGATATGTTGCAAAATACAAGGGGTGGTAAGCTTTCTTAGACATTTGAGTTCTATGTTGTCAAGTGCATTGGAAGTAACTCATTCAATTTCGAAACCTTCTTAATCATTCTTTTTTTAAATTGGTTATTAAAGTTTTATAGTCACATCATGAAGTTTCAGAGCAATAACAAGATATAAAAGTGTTAAAATGTGGATACAGTCAGTAAAATATTGGTCTGTGATAAACAACCACCTCTCAAGTACTTTGTATATTATAAACTAAGGTACCAAAAATGGCTAACTTAAAACATATTTGCATTCTACTGTTAATGTATTATTTGTGTGCAAAAAGAATAATTTAAATATAAGAAATAAAATACATATGCGCTAGCCGTCCCTAATTTAACAGTGAAAGACTAGAGGGAAGGCAGCTCGTCCCACCGCCAAATCTTGGGCTACTCTTTTACCAGCGAATATTAACATTATAACACCCCCACGTCTGTTTGGTGTGACGGGGATTCGAACCCGCGACCCTCATATAACGAATCGAGCGCCTTAACCACCTGGCCATGTCGGGCCGCACTTGTAGTAGAGTTTTATATTATTGAAAGGAAGAAACAACAGACCAAAGGCAGTATACATCATAATTCGTGCAATTTTGGAGAGCCTAAGGCACCCCAGTCCTCTACTTGTGTATGCCTGTAGGTAATAAATATTTTCGTTAAACATGAAACGTAATTTAAAAAAGAATAAAACACAGTTGTTTATTAAATCATTTATAAAAAAAATCAGACAAGATATAATTAGTAAATAAATCAATAGTTTCTTGCAAAGGAATATTAGTGTATAAAATTCAATAACAAAGCACACTGTATACAGTTCATTACGAAGGTTTACGCTCTGTCTTAAAGCATAAATTTATTTCTAGTATATTATCTCCCTTCAAATGTAAAATATAGATTTGTTTGGTCAATTTAAGACATTCGCGCGAAGCTATACAGCGGCTAATTGCGCTGGCCAACCCTAATTTGGAACGGATAGACAAAAGGCAAGGCAGCCAATCAACAGCATCCATTAATCTTTTGACCTGCTCTAGTGTGATTTGACCGTCACTTTTAACGCGACCACGGCCCATACGTACGGAGTGCGACTGTTTTTGCGGCAATGGAACGTGAACTGAACCTCGTGTCAGTGGATACTCTGTCCGGCAAACTAATCATTAGTTCATGTCCAACTTAATATATTCGTCATTTAATTTCTTTTGTAACAGTTGAATTTTATTTATTAATAATTTACATTTATAATATAATCATTCACATTGAAAAAATATAAAAAGTATCTATGCTTCATTGCATTTAATACTTCTATTGATATATCCTACTAGGTAAAATGTTAACGTGTAAAAAACTCAGAGTAATTTAAAATAACTTATTTATTTATTTATTCAAGAACGTTATGTTTTGACATGTTTTATGTTAGGCAAATAAATACTATGACCTCCTAAAGTCATTACAAGTATACCCTCTTCTACCTATTAATTAAAGTTCACGCCAAACATACAAAACTTCAATCTGAGTAATTTTTTAAAGCATAAAATTTGTTAGGAACAACCACTAACAGACGAAATTATTAGAGCTTAATATAATATTATTCAGTTGTTTGTTTGCTAATACATATAATGTTAAGGATTTCTTTTCTTTTTCACCAAAGAGACGTAGAGGCCTAATGCATTCTTTCATTGGCCATACCCGTTGCTCTGGGCTGCAGTTTCTTCCACTCACGGCTCATCAGTACAGCTTGGGTCAGCAAACCGTAGAAATTCAGTTAGGCCTCTTATAGTGGTGTAGTGTGTAGTCTACTGTATAATATCGAATAATGAATTCGACGAAATGTCATAACATTATTCACATACCTAAGTTACTTTAGGTTACTGTATGCTGGATTAAATAGCAATCAAAATCCCATAGCTGTTCGTTTGATTGTTTCTTTGTATTTAAGTGCAATGCTACACAATGGGATATCCGCGCTGTGCCTACCACAGGTATCGATCTGTGATACAAGCGAATACGTCATCACGCTTATTGTTAATATAAATAAATAAATCTTAATTAAAGAATCACTTTTTCCATCATCAACCTCAATAACTTTTTCGTTTGTTTTTTCACAGCATGTTAAAGACTTAATTATATCAGAATTTTCTAACATGTATAGACTCCGATACGAATGCTTCTTCGCCATTCGTTTCACAACTTATTAGCCTCATGCAGTTAAAAAACCCAGAAAAAACAAAACTTAAATCATATTATATTTTTAGTGTTCATTTTATCTCTATCCGATTGATCTAATTGTAATAAAATGAATAAAGATCATTCTTACCATGTTATTTTCACAACTACAGTAACAATTAATAGGATTATTGATTATTCATGATGTTAAAAAACCCAGAAAAAACAAAACTTAAATCATATTATATTTTTAGTGTTCATTTTATCTCTATCCGATTGATCCAGTTGTAATAAAATGAATAAAGATCATTCTTACCATGTTGTTATTTTCACAACCACAGTAACAATTAATAGGATTACTGATTATTCATGATGTTAGAAAAACACGTAGGTTCAAGAAGTCTTGATAGAAATAAATAAAAACCCTATAACCCGAGCGATTTCGAAAGGTGGACCTTTCTTCTTCACGGGCAAACAGTTTGCCCCTCAAGAAGAAAGGTCCATCTTTCGAATGCGCTCGGGTTATAGGAATATTGATTACATACGGTTAGCTTATCTTTTAGTAAAATCCTTTTAAATCTATTATAATAACAACATGATATGAAGCCAAAATTTAATTTAGTTTTATTTGTAAAGCGTACACACAGTATACGATTTTCTTGGTAGAAATGACTGGCCCCCCAATGGTACAGCGGTATGTTTGCGGACTTACAACGCTAGAATCCGTGTTTCGATACCCGTGGTGGGCAGAGCACAGATAGCCCATTGTGTAGCTTTGTGCTTAATAACAAACAACAAAAAAATGGCTGAACAATTTTCAGTTTAAAGAATAAGCTCGCAGAACATTAAAAAGGTATAGATGTATCAAAGTTTATATACCATATAATTTTATCTAGTGATTTTAATCTTAAGACATTTTTAATGTGTACCGACTTTTAAACATAGTTAACTACAAGTGTTACGCTTTGACCATCACTGGAAAACGGGTGCAATGAGTTGGGATCTCATTGTGTGCAATTATTTATCAGCGACATATTTAAACTTGAATAATAAAATTATATAACAGTGAATAAAATATATACGATTCCTGAGGGTTTGTTTATAATGAAGCACAGAGTTACACAGTGGGCTATCTGTACTGTGCCCACCAGCGGTATCGAAACCCGATTTTAGCAAGCCTTCAGACTTACCGCTGATACACTGGGGGGGAATTTTTGAGGGAAATTCAATCGAAGATTATGTGCACAGTAACTGCACAAACTAAACATGAAGAAGAATACAACAACCCACCTACACAAACTAAACACAAAGAAGTACATGGAAACTCACACGACCAAGAAGGGACACAAAAAGAAGTACACGAAGATAATCTCCAAGAAACACCAGAGGATCAAAACAATTTCATACTAGTGCAATCGAAGAAAACAAGAAAACAAACAGCACAAAACACAACCAATCCTACAAATGTAACACACAAAAATATACCACAAAACGCTATTATAATCCAAGGTATTCCAGCACACTACAGGGAACCACAACTTGCGGCTGAAATCAAACGATGCAAGCCGAAAGTTCACATCAC